TGTCGGGGAAAGAGTATGATGTGCTCTACCTGGGGACAGGTATGTTTAGGAGCCAAGTACATTGCCCATCCCGTGCACACATGCTCTTGTTAAAGAGAGGGTTGTATACTTACAGGTTTGAGAGTCCCAGGCACAGGTACAGTGTGTCATTATGTCGTGCCCTCTGCCTGCTTCCTAGAGGATGGACACCTCCACAGAGCTGTGCGGATTGGAGCCAAGCTCAGCATCCTTGAGGATTTGGCCTTATTCCCAGAGCCACAGCCAGTTGAGAATATGAAATTGTATCAAGTGAGTCACAGATTTGGGGGAGACTGGTGGGGAGACATCTGAGCAAGCTTGTGACCCAGAAGTCTGGGAGATGCAGCATAGTCCTCTTTTTTACTCACTTTCTCTAGAGCTGGCTCCTGGTTGGCTCCCGTACTGAGGTAACACAAGTGAACACAACCAACTGTGGACGTCTCCAGAGCTGCTCAGAGTGCATCCTGGCCCAAGACCCTGTCTGTGCCTGGAGCTTCCGGCTATATGCGTGTGTGGCCCATGCTGACGAGCATGGAGGGTGAGTGTGGCTGCCCTGGCCTCTTGCCTGCTGTCACAGAGCTCTGACCTCTCCATATATCTGCCTGTTTCTGATCTGTTCATGCTGCCATGTGTGTTTCTTTTAGTGTCACTGTGTTGTCAGTCCCTACTAACTCATCTGTTTGCCCATCATGGGGCCTTATCCATGTTCCTGCCATTTTGCTGGCCCTGCCCCGGACCATGTGACTGACTTTCATGTTGCCATACACTGCTCAGTGTCCATGTTATAAGAGCTTCTAGAGTGGTTTCCACAGCTGCACACTCCCTCCTTCCTGCCTTGAAATACTCTTTCCTGTTGCCTTCTAGGACTCTGCATTATCCCAGTTTTTGTCCGTGTCTCACCAGCCATCTCCCTTTACTCATTCCTTTCCATCCATTTTCTGAAATTTGATGTTTCTCATGGTTCAGTCTATCATTTTACGCACTCTCTAGATGATATTCTTCCCATCATTTTCAACACCAACTGAGAGTTGTTGACAACTACAGGTGTATCTGTAGTTGACCTACACAATTCCTTATCCAACTGCCTACTTGGATGCTTTATAAACTGCCGAAATTTAGCAGGTCTTAGCATGCACTGTTGTTTTCTCGTTCTTTCACATGGTTCTCTGAAGGGACCTCTGTGAATCCAGTTGCTCAAGCTGGAAATTGCCCACACTATATTGCAGTTGGTACTGACTCTAGCTCCATCTGTTATATCCTCTGTCCACAGCAACTTCTCTTCTTCTCTACTGCTATCACTCTTGTCCTAGCCATCATCATTTCTTAATTGGATTACTCCAATAACCTCCAAATGGTCTTGTTTTGTCCATTTGGGGATCCCATCATCCATTTTCCACTCAGCAGTTCACTTAAAATCATGTGCCACATTGAAGCAAATCCCTGACTTTATATTCATCTACAATATTTCATTATATATGTGTATCAGATAAGAACTCTCTTAAATTTCAAACATTCAAAAACTAGATAGTATAATAAATTTCCATGTATCTATCACTCAGCATCAATATCCACCAACTGACCAGTCTTGCTTGATCATTATCTTCACTTACTCCCAATTGTTTAAAGAAAATCTTAGACATCATATCGCTTCATCCCTAAATCTTTCTATGTGTATCTCTAACACAGAAAGGCTTTTAAAAAATGTAACCATATTACCATTATCATGCTGCAAACTCACTTTCTTAATGTCATCAACTATCTAATCAATGTCTGGTTTTCACAATTGCATATACTTAAAGATAGTTTGCTTAAGTCAGGATCAAAATAATGTCCATCAGTTGTAATTGATTGATATGTTTCTTAAGTCTTTTAATCTTTAATTGAGATTCCTTTCAAATGAGTAATTTTTAATTGATTGCTTGGAAGGTATTTTTTCAGACTGACTTCATGAATTCCTATTTTGAAGTCCAGTTAACTTACTGTATATTTGTGCATATTACTAAATCCCAATCTTACAAATATTTTAGAAACAAAAGTACTTGTTTTTTGGAATTTATTTTGGTTAAGAACTTTAATCTGGTATTTTAGTTTCTCATGGGAGAACTTTGACACATCTTACATGAAAACAAGTGCTTTATTCTTTCCTTTATTGTTTTAATATTCATTGAAATAAGAATTTAATTGGTGTTGTATATCCTGTGCACTGGAGCCTTGGGGTCTCCTCCACATATATATCTATGTGTGTGTAGGATGTGGGGTGTGCACACATGCCAGTATACTTCTTAGTAATGTGAGAAATGACCAAGCTGGTACTTCTGTGCACTCTACCCTTCATATCTCAATTCATATAAGGGAGAAAACATAGACCATGAAGTTCCTGTGGCTATGGCCACATCTATGGCCTTCCCATGTTCCCCACTGTCAGCTAGACTAAGCAAACTTGGTTTTACCTAGAGACTTTCACATATTCATACTAGTCTCAGAGCTTATTTCAGGGGCTCCAATTCATGTTGAAGGAATTCACACTCAAAGGGAATCTACTTTTGGTTGAAGCTTTGTGTGTTCCACCTGGTCATCACTGCAGGCCCACTAGAGGTCTCCCTGGCCTCCCTCCCTCCCTCTGGTAGTGGTGCCAGGAAGTTCAGAGTGAGCAGCCTGTCTTGCTGTCCTTCTGTCAGACACAGCCCATTGAAATCCTGACAGTACCAAGATTGTATGATTTGTAACAGATCTGTTAGAGGCCAGTAGGTATCAACAGTTGTTGAAGAAAGAGTTCCTATATAGAGATGAGCAGCATTATGAAACAAAGTCATCTCACTGACCCTCACAGAATTTTGATTAACTTTTATAGAGAAGTCCTCACTTTCTTTTAACAGAAAAAAAGAAACTCCCCAGACCACCATGTAGTTTTAATATTTTTTTCCAGAGAAATCTCATGGTGTGGACAGTCAGCCATATTTCTTGGAAGGTTCCAATGTTTTTTTAAAGCACACCACCAAACATCCTTCCAACAGACCTAGTGCAGATTTAATTTTCTATGGTCTGCTAGAACATATGTAGAATTTGACATGCTAATCGTCATGAGGCGTATTGGGGGAAATTTTAATGATGAGAATGTTGACTGATAATTCCAGGAGTGATTAATGAGATGATGGGAGATAGAACGAGTGAGTATTCTGTGGTACTGAGGAGTATAGAAGGGAATATTGATACTGGGTTTATGAAACATTCTCTTCTTTGTAGGCTGGTCCAAGACATAGAGTCAGCGGATGTCTCTTCTTTGTGTCCTAAAGAGCCTGGAGGTCTGTCTGGCTTAGGGAAATGTGGGTGGAGTTGGGTGGAAAGAGGCTAGAAAGTTGTCCATTTTGGACCCACTTTGAAAGTTGGATCCTGGAAGATATGGTAGCCAGTGACCTGGGCCTTACCCTTTTTGGGAATCTCCTTTTAGCTTTGCCCCCATGGTTCCTTCTCAAATCTGATATCCCTCTATGTTTCTCTTCATCAGCCCTCGACCCCCCGGCCTATAGCCTCACTACCTTTTATGCCTTTGCTGTTTCTCTGCAGAACACCCAGTAGTGTTTGAAGTTCTTGTGGCTACAGCTGCGCATGTGGTCTTGCCATGTTCCCCAAGCTCAGCCTGGGCATCCTGTGTGTGGCACCAGCCCAGTGGAGTGACTGCTTTTACCCCCAGGAAGGAAGGGCTTGAGGTGGTGGTAACCCCAGGGGCCATGGGTGCTTATTCTTGTGAATGTCAGGAGGGTGGGGCTACCCGCGTGGTAGCGGCTTATACCTTGGTATGGGGCAGCCATCATTGGTCCCCTGGAGACGGTCCCTCACTATGGGGACTGGACTGGCTGGCTTCTTTCTGGGGGTTCTTGCAGCATCCCTGTCTCTCTTCCTGATTTGTCGATATCAGCAGCAACAGCGACAGAGGGAACCTCTGGCTAGAAACGAGGTGGGCTCAGACCTGGGGGCACCACCATCTGGGACCACAAGTCCCAGCCAGGATCCTCCCTCTGTCTCCTGAAGATGAGCGGCTCCCACTGGCTGTAGGCAAGAGGGGCAGTGGTTTTGGTAGCTTACCTCCACCTTTTCTGCTTGATCCTTGCCCGAGCCCAGCCCATAATCGGTTTACTGGGGCTCCTCTGGCCACATGTGATGAAACACCCATCTAGGGCTGGACAAGTGACCACTAGTGCATGACTGGCCACTGGAATGGAGTGACCATTGAGATGTTGGGGTCACTGGGCCTGGAAAACCATCATGGCCTCTGAGTTCTCTTTGTCCTTTGAGTGATCACTTGACTTCAGTGTCAGCCCTCTCTGGCCCTAGATGGGTTCCAGTCCAGGCCTTTGTCTGTGTCCAGATTCCTGATTCCAATGAGAGATCAGAACTTCTCTCTGCAGTGAATCAGGGCTTTTCCCACCCCTGCTCTCTGAACCCCAGTGACCCCTTCAGTCCTGGCCCATGATTTTGGGCCCATAAATTTGGGGAGGGGCATAGGACATAGCTATGACTTTGTCTTCTGGTTGGATTCTGGCCAGAAGGTGGAGCTATGGAGGTGGTTGGAAGCTAATGTGCACTGAGTCCTTTGAGTGGTTTTGCTGATTCTTCCAGTTAGTCTGACTCTGTGGAGAGTGCATGATTCTCATCCACCCCACTTTTCCTTCTTCCATGAAAGAGCATGTGTATAAGAGTGTTCATAGGACACCTGTCAAATGTGCATGAATGACGGGGCCCTTGCTCAGGTGTATTCATCGGGGTAAGGAGGGGGAAGGTTGGGGTGGGGGATTGACTGCAGAACTTTAGACCCTATAGCCAGTGAAGGAATCGCTTTCTAAAAGGAAATAAACAACTGCCCCCACTCCCCCAATCACTTCTCACTACCCTTCCCTTGAGTTGAGAAAAACTCCCAAAGAGGCCTTCTGGGTGGGAAGGGTAACAGTACATGTGACCCCATATTTCTGTTTGTTTTTGCCTCCTGGCTGCTACCACTGCCATGCACAGCTGCTCTCTTTCTCTGGCTGGAGTGCAGGCTGGACCCCCTTTCCTTGGCTCCCATTAAAAATAAATTTCACAACATTCTAAATATTAGGGAACAACAAAAGTTGAACTGTCAGGAAATACAAGCAGTGTAAAGATAAGTTTGTATCAGTGACTTTACTCAGGTTGACACCCTTGCCCTAAAGCAGTTAGTTCTCCAGTGGGGGTCCATGGACTCCCTGAAATCATATGCAAAATGTTGTCTGTATATGTGTGTCTGTGTTTTTCTCGGGCGGGGGTTAGGGGGATGTTTTATGGCTTTCATCAGATTCTCAAGGCCTTAACACAGTTAAAGGACCACTGCCCCCAAGTCATGACTCCGTTGCCCAAGCTGAGATGGTGCCAGTTGGCAGCAGCTCTCTGCCTCGGCCCACCTGCTCTGTGGCCAACCCCTGGACTTGCAGCTCCTGGATGCCGTCTCATTTCTCCAGACCCTGGAAGCTGAGCTCTATGCATATTTGAAGACACTATCAACTCTCACTAAACTTAAAGACTTCTTCCAGCTTCACGGCTCGCACTTGCTTTAGGCTTCTCCTGCTCGGTCTGGTCTTGGCCTGTAAATGTGCCTCATTCATCCCTGATGAGGACCCCCCTACCCACTTTGATCTCCAATGAATGACCCAGCCCTTCCCAGTTGACGTTTTCAGCTCTACTTTCCTTGGCGGCAGCCTGTGAATTACCCAAAAGAGTCCCCTTGGGTTTGGACTTTTCAGTGGCTATGCCCTAATAAGTGTATGATCTTCAGCAAGTAATCTAACCTAGGAACATTGGTTTACTCATCTGTAGAGTGGGGATAATAATACCTACCTCAAGGTTGCTACAAGGATTAAATGAGAACATTTAAACAATAAAGCACTATGTATACCAGTAGAGGTGGTTGTCTAAAAATTGTACTATTCTGCCATAATCACATAGCTTAACCAAATGGTAACCATGACACATGTATCACTTTAAGCTCCATTTGGTGGATGGAGCCTCACACAGATGTCATCTCTGGCCAGATCTTAGCAGCCAGTGTATAAGGCCCATGGGAGACAGGGCCTGTGGTTTATTGTAATCCTCAGATGTCTGACCCTAGTGACCTTATTAGTCCTTCTCTGTGGGAATGAAGGAAGGTGTGTGTTCTTGGATTTGTCCTCACTTTACTCTCTCAAGGTTATGTGTTACTTCCATTTGAGGGAGGAAAGGAGATGGAGAGATATCAGAGGGGCCTGGGGTCTCTAAGAAGGGGATGAGAAGAGTTTTCCAAAGGGGTGGAGGGGAGGAATTCAAGCATGTCAAATTCGTGTTGAAGCCCGCCTGCCACGAGTTTGACATGCTTGGATTAGATCGTGGTGGATTTGAGCATTCGGTTCTTGAACAGTGGTTCTGATTTGAGGAAAACGGGATGAGGAATGTAGGAAAAATGAGGAATGATGGGGATAGACATGAAGTGAGGAAAATCACCTCTTAGTTGGAAAGTTCAAGCCCCAAGAATGAGAGAGAGCTTAGGAATGTGAAGCCAGCCCCTAGAGAAATAATGTGAACAATTGCATTATCTTTGGGGTCTGGGAAGGAAAGAGAGCTGAAGGAGGGTTCAGGATTCCTACAGGGACAATTGTGAGGATTCTGGAAGCCAGAGACCTGGCTGGCTTCACAAGGTAAAGAAGGGTGAAGACGGGACTTGTGCCTCACTTCCTGGCCCTCACTATTAAATTCCCTTCTGTTTTTGGCTCTGGTCCCTGATCCCTAAACTGATACCCTCAGCGTGTCACTCCTATCATTGTCTGCTGCTACCCAGGTTGGCTTACTCAAAATAGAGCCAGAAAGAGATGCTCATTATTGGCTCGTGTGAGCCAAGGGGGCTCTAGCACAGCACTGGCCTAACCCAACAGGAGGCCAACTCACATCTTTTCCCTGGAGACCTCCAGTCCCTCCCTTTCCCCAGACTTCTATGGTGGCCTCAGTGATGGCGGGAAAAGTCCTTTTGGTATCTCTTGGGTCCTGGCGGTCCTGGCTACTCTGCTTCTGTCAGAGGGGAGGCAGTCATGGCTGCAACAAACCATACGCAGTTCCTGCCTGTCTCAAGGGTGTAGTGATAAGACTTGCCTTTTTTGGTTGTAGCAGAGGCAAAGTTGGAATTTTGAAAGATTGTTTTTACCAACTAGGAGAAAAACTAGCAATAAAAGTACAAGAAATCTTTCTGCAGTTTTTAAATTTTCTCTGGTAGGCCCCAGGACAGGCCTCTCTGTGACATGGCAACTTGTGTGACCAGTAGACAACAGGTGTGGTTCCAGACAGGCCCATCTCGACTGATGTAAAACACCAGGTCCTGGTTGAGGTGGGGAACGGCAAGCAATAGGGAAGGGTATAGTTTCCTGAGGATGTTAGATGGGGCCAGAGGGCTGCTCCAGGCCCTGTGGAGAAATAAGTGCAAGCCAAGAACTCTTCCTCTCTTTTCTTTCCCCTTGATTCCCAGCCCATGGGACTGGGGTTTAGGGCTACAGATGCATCTTGGACCTGCCCACTGGTGGGTGTGGCACTCCTCATTTATGACAGAGTTGGCACTCTAAGACTTGGCAGTGCTGGACCACTAGCTAAAGGCTTTAACTATCTGCAGCTGGAACCATGATTGGGGGCAGGAAGAATCAGCAACTGATGCTGGATCCAAAGACCAACATCTCACCCTCAGGTTCAAGCAAGTCCTTTGAGTTGAAACTGACAATAAAGTTCTTCCAGGACTGAGGTTCACACTAGGCACTCTCTGATGGGTAAGTGTTGAAGAAGCTGGTTAGATCTCTCTGGTCAGAGGCTGAGGCAGAGAGCTCCTGGGGAAAGCTCAGGCCTGCATAGGCATAGGTTGTATCTGTCAAGTGAGGGGCTCCAATTAGCCTCAGATGGAGTTCCTAGAATTCTCCCCTGCAAGCCCAGGAATGCAAACAGTCAACACACATTTTTAGTATTCTCCTTTCAAGACATGCTTACTCACGTATGATAGGTAAGCTCCTATTCCTTCCTCTATAAGAAGCAAGGGGGCGGAAGTGGCCCTTGCCTGAGGTGAGAGTGGGGATGGCTGTTTTAGTCTTTGAGTGACGTAGACCTGTGCTGTGTTTCTACACTGGTTCTCCAGAAGTGGCACAAGCTCTGTGGAATGGAGGGGTGGATGCTAGAGACAGTCAGGCCTTGAGGATGAGGGTGAAGCGTCTTTAGTGTGAAAGGATGGAGCTGCCTGCCTATTGGATGAGTGGTTCGGAGAATGAGCTTCTCAGCAGCAGCAGTCAGGGGACCCAGGCACTTCTGTCCTTTGCTGGGAGCCACACGAGTCCCATGAATTCATATTCAATTCTAGGGAGATAGATGGCCGCCCTCAAAATGCCTGAGATAAAATACTTTTCTTCTGAAATGACTGGTTAAATTGATGAATAGAAATAAAGTAATGTTTTTTTGGCCTCTGTGAGTTTGTAGAGAAACATTCATGTCTACTGGAACATCAACATTTCTAGAATTATCTGAGTCTGGATGTCTTCATTATGAACTGGCCTATAGACTGAGAGAACAGAACTAGCTGTAGAAGGGTAGAGTTGAATGGCTTCTTCTAAAGTGAAGAAGCCATTTCTCCTAAGGTAGCTTCTCCCAAGGCATAGCCACCAAATTAATCTTTTATCACACTTAAAACCTGTAGCCTCTCAGATTTACTGGATTTAGGTAATTTGCCTGTGATTTCATCATCCTATATAATAAAAGCCTAATATGCTAAGTGTCTGGTCGTCTGGTTGGTTGTTCAACCAGTCAAAGCATAATATGCTAATTATATGCTAAGGCCACTCAACCACTCTCTATGATGTGCATTGACCACCAGATGGAAGATGCTCTGACTGTTGCTGCTGGTGTCCAGCCAGTCAGGAATGAGCGAGATGGGCCAGACATCCCCTGGATCCATCCTGCAGTCCCCACCTGGCTGGCCAACCTCCCGCTTCCCTGATTGTGCACTTGTGGTGTCTCTGGGTCTGGCCTGCACCATCTCGCAATCTGGGACTCCTAGGGGGATGTTCGAGAGCTGGTTTTGGCCTGATCCCGCAGGCCAGGCTGAGGGACCCCACCAGTGTATGAATTTGTGCACCAGGCCTCTAGTAATATTATAAGTCATCATAGATTGTGATCACCTTGCAATTCCCAGGTGTCCTAGTTGACAAAACAAAGTGTCTGCTGCCATGGCATTCTCCCACCCCACAGTGCCACCAGCATCTAATAAGGACACACTGGGACGTGATGGACTGAGAAAGAACAAGATCACTCCATAATCATGTCTGCACACAGACAAAATAGGAACATTGTCCAACCCACAAAAATGACCAGGCATCCACCTGTCCTGGCTGGAGGAGTGGCTGTTGCTGCTTTACCAATCCTTCACCTGCTCCAGTCGTCCCACTGTCTGGATGAGACTTACTAAGACACCCAGTAGTAGAATTACCCAACTTCCTGGCAAAACACCACAGAGCAAAGCCCTGCTTCCTTAGAGCCTCCTGCAAACACCTAGTGCAAGCCCTAGGTTCCTTCTAATAGCCTCTTCCTGAAACGTCCCACAGTTCCCCATGAGTTTGTAATATATATTTTCATAGTCATAAAATGTATGGAATAATACACACAGAACTGTTAGCAATGGTTATCCCTGATGAATAATTTTTACGTGTTATAAAATATATTTTTATTCATTTCAGAGAGGAAGGAAGGAGAGAGAAAAATAGAAACATTGATGATGAGAGAGAATCGTTGATTGGCTGCCTCTTGTACACCACACACTGGGATCAAGCCTGCAACCTGGGATGTGCCCTGACTGGGAATTGAACTGGGCACCTCCTGGTTCATAGTTAGATGCTCAACAACTGAGCTGCATCAACTGGGCAATTTTTACCTTTTAAAAAACACACAATATGCACGGAGAGAGAGAGAGGAGAAGAAATGAAAAGAAAATGAAGAAGAAGAATGAACTGAGTGATGTTGACATTCTCTGGGTTAGTGGCTCTAAACTATGTGCTGATAGTGATTTTATTGGATGATATTTATTTTCTACAATTAATTTGCATTACATTTGAACATGAAGAAAAAGTTATTTTTAAATGTGTGAAAATCATGACTTTTCCAAGGAAAATACTGACTGTTTTTAATTTTTATTTTTGCAATGACATTTTGTGCCTGACTAAAATTGTATATAAGTCATGGCTGGTTTGAAGACTTCTGATTTTCCAGGTCAGTTGCAGTACAGTGCAATAGGTGTCACTCATTCCCTGAGAATGGCATATTGCTAATGCTGGCTGGAAGCCCTCTCTGAGCTGTGCCCAATTCTAGATCAATTACCTGTCTGCAAGATATACCTAATGTCTAATCTTTGAGTTATGCACTTGTACTTGTAATTTTACATAGTACTTGTAATTATAAGTGCTATGTACTTGTAACTTTCCTTCCTCTTGTAATTTTAACCCAATTTAGATAAGAAGAATTATCACTACAGTAAAACACACATTCCTTTTATAGGCAGAGCTTTCACATAGCCACCCTATCTTCAAAGTAGTCTTTTGAAGTACTTCAGGCAGGTATATGTACTTCATTTTACAGAGGAGAAAAATGAAGTTAAATAGAAAACTGAAGTTATTAATAGTTTGTATGTCCAGTTTACTTTGCCCTTCATTGGTTATTTCTATGCAGTAAAACAATACTACTTGTGCTTTAAATATATTGGTATATAAATGTATCAACAGTAAAAGTACATTTGGATTAGTTTCTGAGAAATGCCATTCAAATGATGAGAGCTGACCCATGCTGCTTGTGCAGTGTGGTTGTGCGAAAGCTTCTGATGGATGCATGGCAAAAAGGAGCCCTCCTCACCGGGACAG